CACTCATCAGTCTCTCTCCACTTCACTTCTTACATGGAGGTGGAGGCAGGCAGATCAGAAGTCTCTGCGGGACATGTTATCACAGTGACTGGCTATCACAGTGATCACGTGTTGGGACAGAAGGATTGGCTGCTGCCATCTGCCTCTGACATCAAGGACATCAGACTGCAGCAGCATTAACCCCATGATCGCCACAATTGTTGCGATCCGTACTTAATTTTAGTAAATGATGGAAATTTTCTATCATGCATCCTTAATGGTAGGACTGCCATGACGGACAATTTCCATTCAGCATTGCAAAGGGGTTATATGTGAAAGCATACTATGTATTTTTCAAATGTTTACAAAATTATGACTCCGAAGCGGGTGAAAAAACTGCAACAAAATTATATTTTTTTCCTTTTCACTATTCACTAAAACTGCATGATCTGACAAAAAAAAAAAAAACACAACAGAACATATAGATTGTTATGGCACTGTAAGTGTTTCATCTGCTAATTGAACATTGATGTTTACTGGAAAATTGCTTCTCTAAGAATAGTAAGTTCTTCCTGCTAAGAGAATCCAATCCAGAGGTGTAAAATGGCCTAGTAACTAAGGTGTTAAAACATGGTTCTTAAAGGGTTTCTCGGTGTATCACAACCACTATAGCTCACTGTGATAAGTGTACCCTGGCACAATTCCCTAGTAATGGGGCACACTATTTTGCAATAATTTGCCTCGGACATCGCTCATGCCAAGCCCTGAGCCTCCTCTAATGTCGGCATGGTCGCATCCAGGACAATCCTGCTGGAGCGCTCTCAGTCATTGAATGAGCAAGGAATATGCTGAGAGTCGACATTATCCAGCCAGGAACTCTTGTTACAACTAGTGATACATTCAGGCAGGGTTGACCCGTGCATGGGTCCCAATGGGGTCATGTCCCCAGACTGCACTTTGACCGGGGCGCTCCTGTACACTATAAATAGTCTGCTGTACAGGACATGGGCCACCTATTTGCAAATATATAGAGAGAGGCATCACATCATAGTACATTTCTATTTCTTTTCCTTTTTTTATTTAAAACTTCTCTATTCAACCTCTTGAAAGTTATTTTGGATTGTTTCTGGGAATAGCACCGCTGCTTTGTTTACAAAATACTCGCTGCTGTGTATCCCTTCCTTCATGTGTTTTTATATAACTGCAAGAATCTCTGCCAGGAGTCAGAGCCTGCTTCACCCAGAAGTCATGAAATGTACTGCAGCCAATCCTGGGATGGCATCATTCCATACTCCAAGTCAGCCTTATCGTTTAATTTCACATAGAGATGTAACAATCGAGCATAGGGCAGGCTGCAACTAATTACATAGTTACATAATTCAGCCTTCCTCACATATGTTTCTGCTGTTGATTCAAAAGAAGGCATTTCGCATACACTACACACACACACACACACACACACACAAATACAACCCTGCATCCAAATGTCAACACTACATAAAAACACACCACCCTAATCAAAAACCACACTACAGAAAAATGCACGCCTTCATTCAAATGCCAATACGTGCAAACACACCCAATATTCACTCACACATACTCCATACAAAAACATGCTTACATTCAAACATACACACACTGCGCGGTGCTATATTACATAAAAAAATACAAACACTGCTCGGTGCTAAATAGATTTTTTTTTAAATTGCGGATGTTTTTAAACTGGGGGGCTTGTAGTTGGGAGTGGGTGCTGAGTAGTTGTGTGATTTATGGAGCAAGTGTTCTTGAGTGTGTTTCTATCTTCAGACTGTTTTCTATATATAAAAACAAAAAGGAGGTGAGGGTTGCGCCCAAAGTCTCGTAACAGTAAATATACAAATAGAAAACTGACCTAATGGTCTAAATGATACAATGATAAAAAGAGGCTATGTAAATAAAAAGATCGAAATAAAATCTCACTAAAATAGTAGTGCAGTCTTTAGGGGTTGATCCGTCCGGATGGTAAAATACGTTTAAAAGTCTCAGTAATATAACAGGATAAAATAGGGGTGTAATCCTTGGGAGTTGATCCATCCGGATGATAAAATATCCGTATGTGGAGAGACAAGGGGAGATACGACAGACAGTGGATAGTATAATACGTCAGAGATCCTAAGGTAAAATGGATCAAATAAAAGGTAGTAGACTCACATTTAAAAGAGCTTAAGCCAGCTCTGGAGTGAATGGTGTCTAGTGGTACAATCCCAGCTATGGGATACAATGGAGAGGTGTGTCCGTCAATCCAGTTTAGGTATCCATGGTTCCAGTGCAGGGCCGGACTGGCCCACCGGGATACCGGGAAATTTCCCGGTGGGCCGTCGGCACCTGGGGCCGGGCAGATACCTGGGTCTGCTGACGGCCGCTGGGGAGGTCTTCTGGCGGCCGCTGGGGGAGCTGCGCTGGCTCTGCTCCCCAGTGCGCAGCTGAATGAGACCGGCGCCGGAATATGACGTCATATTCCGGCACCGGTCTCATTAAGCAGTGCGCGAGGGCGAGAGAGCAGAGCCAGTGCAGCTCCCCCAGCAGACCTCCCCAGAGGCCGCTAGTACAAGTCCCCCAGCAGCCGCCAGCAGACCTCCCCAGCGGCCTCCAGAAGACCTCCCCCTGGCAGGTTTTAGTAATATGTCAGTGTGAGTTTGTCTGTCTGTTATGGTGTGTGTGTCTGTCTGTTTCATGGTGTCTGTATGGTGTGTGTCTGTATGGTGTGTGTCTGTCTGTCTGTGTCATGGTGTCTGTATTGTGTATGTCTGTCTGTGTCATGGTGTCTGTCTGTCTGTGTCATGGTGTCTGTCTGTCTGTGTCATGGTGTCTGTCTGTCTGTCATGGTGTCTGAATGGTGTGTGTCTGTCTGTCAGTCATGGTGTCTGTATGGTGTGTGTCTGTCTGTCTGTGTCATGGTGTCTGTATGGTGTGTGTGTCTGTCTGTCATGGTGTCTGTATGGTGTGTGTATGTCTGTCTGTGTCATGGTGTCTGTATGGCGTGTGTCTGTCTGTGTCATGGTGTCTGTATGGTGTGTGTCTGTGTGTGTGTGTCATGGTGTGTGTGTTATGGTGTGTGTGTGTGTCTGTCTGTGTCATGGTGTGTGTGTGTCTGTCCGTCATGGGGGGTGTGTGTGTGTGTGTGTCTGTCCATCATGGTGTGTGTATCTGTAATGGGGTGTGTATCTGTCATGGTATATGTGTGTTTCTGTGTCTGTCATGGTGTATATGTGTGTTTAAAAATAGTGTTTTTGCTCACCTTTTTTTCCCCCCCACGCAGCGTGCTGGTCTCCCTCGACTGGCCCTGCCTCTATAGCTGAGATCATCAAGCTTGATGATCTCAGCCAATCCAATGCTTTGCCATAGGATTGGCTGCAAAACACCACTCCAATCAGCATCTCCTCATAGAGATGCATTGAATCAATGTATATCTATGGGGAACGTTCAGCACCTACAGAGTGTGGAGGCCCTGAATGTAGGTGCACTAACACAGGAAGCACCTCTAGTGACCGTCTGAGTGACTGTCACTAGCAGTGTCACTTTGAAGCAATGTAAACACTGCCTTTTGTCTGAAAATTCAGTGTTTACGTTGAAAAGCCTGTAGGGACATGCTATAGACACCAGTACCACCACATTAAGCTGTGTGTGTGCGTCTGCTAGTGAGTGAGCTTGTGTTTTTATGTCAATGAGCTGATGTATATCAGTGAGATTGTTTGTCTATGAGGCTGTGTATCAATGAGCTTGTGTATGTCATTGAGATGTCCGTGAAATTGCCTGTGTCTGCATGTGAGTATGATTACTGTATAATTAAACGTTTTACCCTGAAAGGACCAATATTTTATATTAGACAAAGCAATCAAAATATATATATATATATTACTCAATCATCTGTCATGGCAAGACATAGCCTTACATATTACACGCGACAATATATGGCGCAGTGACTTCTGGGGCTGGCACAAATTTTTTTTCCAGGGCTGCTTTGTATCCCCAGTCCGGCCCTGTTCCAGTGTATATAAAAACAACAATAATGCTCTCAATTTGAAAAGAATGTAGTATATAAAATATA